GTCTGCAACCCCCCTATATTTCAGAGGAAGGAACTGGCAAAACCACCTGTGAGTATTCCTCACCTAAAAAAACCTGATAAAATTCATGGGATCCTCATAAGTCAACAGGAGACTTGAAGGCAAATACACACGTGCACACACATCAGATCTTGTACAGATCAATGAACAGCTCCAGTTTTGTAACTTATGGCTGGTTGGTCTTATTCTGTCTTCTTCACTGCCAAAATTACTTTTCAGGGCTTCAAGGGGCCAGTCATGTCCTTGTGTTTTGATCAACTGTCCATTCAGCCCTTGGTTGCAGCTTGTTGTGAAGTAACAGAACTGACAAAGATTGCCATTTGGATTACAAACAGTGGCCATGCTTTCTTCTAGCCCAACAAGTCAGTTTTCCAAGCTCTAGTTGCTTAGGACTGCAGGGCACTTTAAAGGAAAAATATTGGTCCAAAGTTGTCCCTGAGAACTGTCAAAATGCATCGTCTCATCAAAATCTATAAAGAGATAAGACACTAGAGTTCAAAGAGGCTGGGATTGTGCATCAAGGCTGTTAATTAAATACTAAACCCATATAACATGGATCTGAATGGAAATAAAGGAAAATAATATAATTTCTTCGCCCAGGTGCTTTTTTATACTGCTATTCATTTGCTTTGGATGTTTTATCTGTTTAGATAAAATGTGTCAGCAGCTGGCAAGTAAGAGGGAAAATTGATGTAGCTTTGCATAAACTACCCTCCAAAGAGATCTCATAAATTAAAAAGCTCGAATGCGCAGTCCACAGATCCATCTGGGATCAAGCCTATGTTTTTCTCTGAAGATGCTAGCCATAGATGCTGGCGAAACGTCAGAAAGAAACTCTTCTAGAACATGGCCACACAGCCCGAAAAAACCCACAAAAAACCTAAGCCTATGTATGTTTACCCTGGAGTAAATTCCATTGAAACCAGTGGGATTTGCTTATGAATAGTCATGCTCTAAGGCTATCATCCCATTCATAACCTGTTGGATGAAAATTTCATTGAATTCAGAAGGATTTATTTCTATGTAGCCTTTTAAGAATAGCGCTAAACACAATCTGCAGTGCTTGAGTAAAAGCTTGCTTAATCTCATTTACTTTAAAGAGAGTGACAGATCAATCTACAAATTGGTTAAACTCAAACAACTGGAATTAAGACCGTTTCCTTGAGGCTAAATCCAGATACTCTGGCTTCATTGATTTGAATGCCAAGCTGGGTTAAATCTAAGTGTCCCAGTTTATTTTCTTCAAGGACTGGGGCAGCTGCAATGAGTGTGTTGATTAATGTATTTAGTATTGTGATATTTAGTACATCTATACCACCGTTCTTATTCAGTACATTGACACGGCAGCATACCTTTTTTCCATTTAGTATAATTATGTACAACCTTCTTATTACCATTGAAGCAAAGGTTGTATATAGAGGGGCAGCCTTTCCCAACACATTATTCTTCAGATGTGTTTGGTGGCAACACATTTCACCCCCAGCTAGCCAGGGATGATGGGAGTTTTAGTCAAACACAGCTGCAGAGTGCTGGGACTGGGAGCCAAGTGTAAGAGTGCCAAAGTAACTCCCATCCAACTTGTGACAAGACTTGGACCTGCTGAGATTCATGATCTGAGGGCACCATGTGTTTTTATGGTCAGTGTGGCAGCCACACAATTCCAGTCTTTGCTGTTGTTGCTGTGTGCCTTCAAGACATTTCCAACTCATGTAGACCCTAAGATGAACCTTTCAGGGGTTTTTCTTGGCATGATTTGTTCAGAGGAGGTTTGCCTTTGCCTTCCCCTGAGGCTGAGAGCATGTGACTTGCCCACAGTCACCCAGTGGGTGGCATGGCTGAGCTGGGAATTGAACCCAGGTCTCCAGATTCATAGTTCGACACTCCAACCACTATGCTATGCTGGCTTTCAATTTCAATCTTGCCCTCTTAATTTCTTCAGATGGTTGCACCCTCTACCCCAGGACACATATGGCTGCCTAAGGCATTATAGGCACAGTATATATATATAT